TATATATATATATATATATATATATATATATATGTGATGTAAGTAGAAAAGTAAATATACCTCTTTCTACCCTCTCCTCTATTCTAATGACAAACCTAACTTGACATGTAACAAAAAATTTTCATTATTAGGAGAGAAGAACATATTATTCTAAGCTCCACCAAAAGAAACGTTAATATATTAATAAAATTTTTACTTTAAAATTTGAACATCAACAAAAAACATCTTATGCATCATAACATTAGCCATATAGAAATATCAAAATGCTGCACATTTTTTTCTAAAACAGCTGATAGACCAAATCCTACAAAACAGCTGTAGCTTCAAAGCAAGAAAATGTTTAAAAATCATAGATGAGTAATGTAGATCCGTTATAATATAGAACGCGGCAAGTTCCATCAGAAAAGAGGACACAATAAGTTGGACACATTTAACTCTGGGAGCTGATGAAGACACATGTTGCAGGACCAGAGTTATCCTGCAGTAGAAGTTCGGTTGCATTTGTGGGGTTAGCGTGGACCTCCTTTCTCCTTTCTGAGTTCATCATATTCCGATCTCCCTCCTTTGGTGTGTATCAGTGGCTGAAAGGATAAAGGGAACAATTTAGGAAAACAAAGATCACTTTCAGGCAGGATAGTTTAGAAATAAGGGATAAATAAGCTCACTTGGTAGTTATCATCGTTGTTATGATTCAGATTCTGTCGATCGGACTCTGAGGATGAGATTATAATTAAGACACAAACAATACCAACATCGGATCAGAAAATTATGGCGACATATACTGGGTATTCATTGGGTATTCATATACATTTATAAAAGACAAACAATTTCTGTAACAACAAAATCTGGGATATACAAAGCCCAGTAACTGGCATGGGGATTTAATATATATATATATATATATATATATATATATATATATATATATAACTATATATATGTAAAATGTGAACTCCATATTTATTTGTATTGTATTTTGCTTATTTTTAATTCAATTGAACTTAATACTTAATACTTGTAAGCTGCTGGTAACCTTAATTTCCGGAGAGGGAGTCTTCCCAAGGGATCAATACTTACTAAAGTACTAAAGTACTTTACTTTAGTACTAAAGTACTAAAGTATTGTCTAAGTCTATATATATATATATATATATATATATATATATATATATATATATTATATATTATGCATCAGAACCAACTTGTTCTCAGAAACAAGCATGAAATAAATACTAATTCAGCTACAGCTACAGCAGAGTACTTATTTATGGCCATTACATATGTACAGTGTTTAATGTGTATCAACGAAAGATTTAGTTGAGAGATGGGGGGCATGGGTCGGTTATTTCTCCTTGTCCTTGAAAAACTGCCCGGCCCAGGCAGATTCTCATTTTTGTCACTCTGTGTGCAAAATTCTGTGTGCATCCAAATCACGCTTAATCTTCATCCTTGGGAACCAGTGAGGCTTTAAGGACTACACATTTTTTCTGTGATATCTATAGAAAATCATCCTTTTTTTTATATGGGCTTTACTGTTTAAATTTATTAATGGGTTAAGGTTGGAGCAGCATGTAATCCATAATCCTTTGTCCAGACCAAAAACACAAAGCATTTACTTACACAGAACAGCCATGAATCCAGCCTTCAGAATGTGTAAATACAGACCCTTAGGGGCCCTGTGCAATTATGTAACACAGGGGACAAATAATCTCTGGTCAGGGCAGAGGTTGGGTTTACAAACCTGCTGCTGTGAATAGTGATGATAAAGATTACAATCTGTAGCAGTATAGAACAGCAAATTAATAGAAACAAATGGAAAAACACCAGTAATCATGCTTAATAACTTAGAATGACAAGCGCAAAGGGCCTGAAGCCCCACTGGAAATGGAAATAAACTCTGACCCCTGGAGGTTTGAAACTCAGCGGTAGTGAGTGAGCAAGAAGTCACTCATGTCTGAGTCTCCACTTCATCTGAGGTGGTATTTTTTTCCTTTTTTATTTTAAAGATTTTCACACAATCAGAGAAGGTCTGTTCTTTCTCTTCTGCCAGCATCTTCACTAAATGGTGATCTTATCTGCAATGTGTGCACTAATGGTGAAAATTGTTTCTGCTTTTATGAGAACAAAATACTATCAGATAATCAATGTCTTTATATGTTGCTTTGATGAATAACGTTGCACCTTTCCCTCCTATAATTTAACTTTGAGCTGAAACGTCAAGTATTTGAGACAAACGCGTCAGTTGGGCAGCAGCAGGTGTTATTTTGCTTTTTGCAATGATGTCTGGTCTTGAAAGAGAGAGCGAGAGAAAGAAAGAAATTTTAAACTTCATAAAAATGCTTGTATTTTTCCCCCCTTTTTTGTATTTGACCTAGTCGGATGCAGAGTAATGTATCAATCTGTGAGACACTGTGTAAGAAGTGAAAATTCAGCACAGTCCTGCACAGATCTGGTCACCATACGATATTACATTATGTTTATTTCTTGCAATGCAAGGATATTTTTTTGCAACTCATCTCTAGCCCAAAATAAGGCTCAGAATCCATGTCCATTGTTTGTTCCTCTGTTCCTGTAGCTTTTACTAAAGGTGCCCCGTGTAGGAAGATTGTTTTTGTATCTTG